TTATAAATGAATTGGAAACTATTAAAAACACTGAAAAGGCATAAAGAAGTAACAATTACTAGGGATGGCAATTTTTCCCATTTCCTTGACCCTGTGGGGATCCACCCCAAATGGGGCAAGGATGGGAATGATTTTTTCCCAGCGGGACGGGGATGAGGAGAGGCTCATCCCCATCCCTTCCCCACCGCGTTGCCATTCCTAACAATTACTAATAAAATTGTTGATACCGGTAATTTACTGATATTAATGAAAATTTTCAATATTTTAATATTAAATTTTAATTTATATATGAAATTAATTAAGTTTTACTATTATTATCTAAAATTGACAATAATTATTTTTAGAAAATTATTTCAATTGCAATAATTAAACCATCAATTTATTCTAACATTTTCAGTAACTAATTATTCATAAATACAGAATTTTTTTGAAAATTACTTTATTCATATTAATGATCTTTAATATTTTTTCAAATTTCTTACTAAAATTTACTGAATTTGGTAATTTAAGTAGAAAATTAAATTATAAAATTTTCAATTATTCAAATAAATACAATTTAAATAGTGAAAATTTTTAATATTTTATTATATTTATTTCGTAATTATTGTATTTATTGCATTTTCATTATAAATTTATTTCCAATAATTGTGCATTCTCACTATAAATTATCAATAATTATTGGAGATTAAACTATTGTTATTTATTGAAGATTAGACTATTAATTTAGTTGAAATTAAGAGTGTTCACGGGTTGGGTTGGGGAATTGGTCACTTGGAACCCACCGACCATTAGTGAAAACCGGCCAGCTTTGGTTGTATGGTCGGTTTTCAGTTTAGCCGGTTGGTTCAAAAGATTTAAACTTAAAAATTAAATTTATGTTTAAAAATAATATAGTACTATTATTAAAAAATACATTGAAAATTTTAATTTATAATATAAAATATTTAGAGTAAGAAATATGGGAATTTTTCCACTTCCCCATATTAAAGATTATTGGGTCTGTTCGATTTTGGTTTATTTACAAATGGCCAAACCGAAATTAGCCCAACCTGATCAGTTGGGGAGTTATTGCACCGTAGTTGACCGAAAATACTAGAAAACCAACTAACTCTAGTTGAGTTGGTTTGGGTTGTTCAGTTTCATCGGTTTGACGAACAACATTTTTGTGTTACAAAAAAATTATTAAAATATATAAAATATAAATCGTTATTAATCATTTAAAAATTTAAAATATAAAACAATGGCCTATTCTTATGTGTTTCTATTGTTTAACTTTCTCTTAACAAAATCCGTGCATGGCATGACTCCCTCTGTTAATATCTATATATAAAACTCCAGTGTTGCACAATTTGGTATAATTCCCAATTATTCAGAAAAAGTGGGGTTGAGTCCATTTCGTCACTTTGTCTTTCTTCTTTGTCTCTAGCCATCGTTTTATTTTGTCAAATTGACAATTTTTAACATGGTTTTTAAAACCAGACTGGACAGGAAATCATTTTGGGTCCGGTTTCCAAGTTGAATGGTCCAACTGTTCTGTCGGAACAGATGGCCCGCTCTGAAAGAAAGAATAAAAAATAAACAAAAAACGGCAAAAAAACATTATCCGGATCAACAGGTTGACCACCAGGGTCAGCAATTCACTAACCGAATTACCAATTTTTGGTCAAAAAACAGTTTTGGGGTAAAACAGAACCCTGGTTTTTTGGGTCCAACTGTCCGATCCGGTCTGATCTGATTTTAAAAACCATGATTTTTAGCTTTAATCTTGCAAGAATGACTAGCCATATCACGGTTCCATCAAAAGCCAAATCATGGGCCTTACACAGTTTTGGTGCCAATGGATGCTAAACAGAATAACGTTCTTACGGCTTACTCCATCCTAGTCAAAGATCAGAAAAAAACGTTTACCTAAAGCAACATAACAGATATTGCCAAATTTGATAACTTTGTTTTACTGGCTGGATCATCGTCAATGATTTTGCTCCACACCATCCATAAAATACATGTGGCTCACAATCACCAATTTCTCACTTGCATTTAACTGATGTGAAACAAAATAATTTGTCCAACAGACACAGACACTAAAGCAGCTCTTCGGTCACTGTGGGGTGACAATTTCTGATCCCAACGCACCCAGTTAAAGGGGTGTTGGACAACATGATTGTTTTTTTGTTTTTAAAAACAATGCTAACCATATTGTTGAACACCCCCTTAAAAACAAACCAACCAGTTGTGTTTTTTGTTTTTAAAAACTCACTTGTGGAGTTTTAAGTGGATGATGGGTAAGGGTAGTAGCTCAACCCACATGGACATGCCCATGACTGTATAGCAAAAGAAAAACATAATAATAAGTTTAAATTACAGATTAGTATCCTCTATTTTGGGGTTAGTTTCATTTTAGTAGCCGAATTTCCAAACGTGCTAGTATATCTGAACTCTCGAAAACTATCAGTTTAGTATCCGTTAAAAGTCTGCCAATTATTTGTAGACATGTGCAATTTAAATATTTTAAAATATCAAAACTACCCTTTTAGTAATTTTGAGATCATTTTACCCTTTTCTCAAAACCTTAAAAAAGTTTGGGTGTTTTCATGTGAGAAGAGAGAATGCTGTTGGATAGAGAGGAATAGACTGTGGTAGGTTATATGTTTTGGATGAATTTTGGCTATCGGATGTTCATAACAGTGTTGGAGGAATTTATGTTTTACCCAATGGCATCTGCAGGCTCCATCCGTTGCAGCAAAATCAGCTCAGGACTCTCCACTCCTCTATTTCCAGAAGTGGATGCTCTCTTATCCATGTTCAAAGTTCTCTCGCAGGGAGTTGGTTGATCTGAGACAGCAGATTGATGCTAGATTGAACAATCTCAAAGAGGGTTTTTGTCCAAGACTCCAAGCACCGCAAGACACCTGCCGAGTTGGAGAAAGGTGTGGATGGCCTATTGGATAGCTTTGCAAGGCTGGATTGTTGCATCTCAAGTGTTGGACAGACTGCTGCAAAGATTGGAGATCATCTTCAGAGTGCAGATTCTCAGAGAGAAAGTGCTGGTCAAATAATAGAGCTCATAAAGTACTTTTTTTGGGGGGATTAGAGCTCATAAAGTACTTGATGGAGTTCAATGGCAGCCTGGGAGATCAGATGGAAATTTTACCTCTTTTCTATGACGACAATCGTGTTGCTGAAACTGCTTCAGTTGCAGAAAAACTAAGGGCATTTGCTGAGGAAGATATTCGAAGACATGGCATTACTGTACCATCAGTGATGGGAAATGCAACTGCAAGCAGAGGTATAGAAGTTGCGGTTGCAAATCTTCAAGACTATTGCAGCGAGCTGGAGAACAATATGTTGGCTCGACTTGATCACAGAGGAGATAATTATCAACGATGGGTGAATCTGCTAAAATTTAATCGCAGTTCAATAGGGGTACAGGTGCTATGGAACATTGTGGCAACTCAACTTAACTGATGTTTATTGGTGCGAAGATGATGAATAAGGAAGCTAGGTTGGTTCTTGGTGACCATGGCTCACAAGTTAGTCCTACTAATGTTGCTCGTGAGCTTTCCTCATTCCACAAAGAAATCACAGATAATGGCTGTATTCCCATTAAAGTTTTTAAAACCAGACCGGACAGGGAACCATTCTAGGTCCGGTTCCTGGGTTAAACGGTTTGACTGTTCGGTCTGAACAGACAGCCCACTCTGACAAAAAATTAACAAAATTTAAATTAAAAAAAAAGGCCAAAAACCATTCCCAGGTTGAACGGTTCGATGGTTCAACCGCCTAGGTCAGTGGTTCGCTGACCAAATTAACAATTTTTGGCCAAACTACGGTTTTGGCATAAAACGGGACCGGTTTTTCCAGTCCCACTGTCCGATACAGTCCGGTTTTGAAAACATTGATTCCCATCCCCTGATGAGGTCATGTCAATTTTGGTGCAAAGAGTTTAGAAATAGCAAGTTACGGCTGTTTTGGACAAGGTTTTAAAAAACGACCTAGAATCAGAACCACTTTAGCCACCAGTTTTCCAGTCAGCAACTTGACCATCCCTGTTTGAATAGACAACCCATTCCAACTTAAAAAAATAAAAAATAAAATAAAATAAAAAAGTCAAAATATCGACATGTATCGTTCCAGCACCCCACCAATACACTCCTACACCCCTACAGTGGGTGTATCATTGGTCTGACCAGTTTAAGGTGTGGCAAAAACCTAAACCGGCTCTCCTGAACCAGCTGGTGAAAAAAATTAAAAAAACCACCAAAAGGAGTATCGAATCGGGCGTATCAATATTTTGAACCTTAGGTCAAACAAATTGGTAAATTTGATCATACAATCCAACAGGTCACTGGCTAAGTCAACAATTTTTTGTCAAAGACCAAGTTAAGGGTAAAACGGAACCGGTTGCCTAAATGGTCCAACCATCGAAGTCGATGGCAATTCGAAAAAAATTGGTTTTGGATAAGCTATTGGTGAAGCCATCTTGTTTAATGACATTCAACAACTAAAAAAATTCTATTTAAATTCAATTAGTGGAAATGGGAAAAAAGTGCTATTTAGATTCAATTAGAGGAAATGCGAAGTCTTTCGCTTATGAAACTCGTGCAAAGAGAGATGTGCGGTGAGGTTTGTACATTAAATACTACCCTCTTCTCCCCGTTCATGTTGTTATCCGTCAACTATCTCCCGGTTTTTTCTAGGTATGAGATTCTAAAAAGATGAGCGGGATGAGCGGCAGTATCATCAAGAGGGACTTTGTATTAGGGAAAGATTAAAGTTAAGATAAGGTCTTCAATATGATTAGTTGACAAAGAAAATTAGATGACACCCAAAAAGGTGTGTGCCCTTTCGCTAACATCTGTTGAGATTTTGGACTAAACTGGCGGTTTTCAGGAATTCAGATACTGCAGTTGGACGTAATACTAAAGTGAGTCTAGCCCCAAAGTACAGGATGCTAATCTGCAATTTACCCTAATAATAATCCAAAAGAAATTTAAGAGTAATTAAAATATGAAAGGCTTGGCTCGTGATCTACTGATCTGGTATCCAAAAGCATATACTACAAGTAAAGAAAGAAATGGAAACCCACAAAGCCACTTCTCTTCACAATCCATCTTATATAGCCCTCTAATTTATGGCAACAATCTGTCTCCTGACATTGGAAAAACCTAAAAATAGAAGTCTAAGGCAACAGAAGATAGACAATGTAAAAAAAAGTAAACACATCCGTTAGCACATTGAGATTTGAGGAAAAGAGAGAAGACCTGTTGCCCACTCATAAATATCCTCCCATACATGTGAACATTCATCTTCCTTGCTACAAGGTCAATCTTTTTAGATGGTTTGCAGCTGGGAGAAGGAGATCCGGATAACTGATCTATCAATGGTGCTGGCATGCTTGCACACAAGAGCCTCAGTGGCCTGCTCCTCCGTCTCAAACAACACAAGGGCCTGTTTCTTCCCATTTACCTCAAAGAGCTTAGTATTGACAATGGTTCCATGCTCTTCCAGGTGAGTAATAATCTCCTCTTCTGTGATGTCCTGAGGAAGAGTGGACAGGTGGATCATCTTGGTTGGGGAGCAGCAGTAGCGGTAGTTCTTTGCAGCATTGCGGTTGAAGCGGTTAAGGTTTGAATTCAAGTACTCATGTGTGTCTGGTGCTGCTGTAATGTTCAGATGCTTAGAGAAGTTCACCTCTAATCGCTTCCCAAATAGCATAGCACCCTATATCACAGAAAAATTAAGTTTGAACCCATCAAGACCATCAGATTCAATAGAAAAACAGGCAAGTGACCCTTGGAATACATAAAAAGGGGAAGAAACTAATGATTTATAAAAATCAATTCTTGGAGAATTACGGTTAGTGTGACTGGATATCAGTACGAAACAGTGTTTTTGAACCACCGTTGACCCAGATGGTCGGACTGTTCGGCCTGGGAACCATTCACGTAACCGGTTCCGTTTTCCCCCAAACCCGTTCCTTGTCCAAAAACCATTGAATTGGTCAGCAACCTGCTGACCCAGGCAGTTAAACCGTTGACCCGTTCAATGGTTTTTGGTCATTTTTTATTTTAATTGTTTTAATTATTTTTTTAATTTTTCATTTGGAACAGGCTGTCTGTTCAAACAGGATGGTCGAACCATCAACACAGAAACCAGTGGCCAGAATGCTTCTGGCAATCAGTGGGTATAGGATCATTAAACAATATTATACCAACATGCTGCCCAATATTTTAAAATCACTGCATCAAAGAATACAAGAAAGAATGTAAAACTAGCTCTACTATTAGCTAGGACAAATTGAAGAAAGTATAGCCCCTCATCCTGCATGTGGTTTAAGGTCCAGAACAAATCTGGTTAACCAACAATACTTTTTCCTATACCAACATAAATAGAAATGAATGGTAAAACAAGATTCATATAGCTGACCTCATAAGGCTTAGATGATGATGATGATGACCAACATAAATAACAAATGGTGTTGCAAAAAATACAAAGGTGCTGAAGAAGAAAAAGGAAACATATTTTCTGCTTCATCAGAATCTTGCATCCGAAATGTAGTGATAATGGCAACTTGACGCATGCAGATGCAATCACACATCCAAATAACACTATAGCAACATGTATAAATTATTATAATTAAACAGAAAGAAAGGACAGAATGAAGCCATACCTTCAAAAAGTGCACAGCCAATTCAGCCTGGAAACCGTCTCCCATCTGAACAAGTGCATGATCTGGTTTATTACGAAGAAGTTTGATCCTTACAATGTTCCCGTAGATGGAGAATAGGTTGAAAAGTTTATCCTCATCAATTTTCTGAAAGTAAAAGTTAAAAAGTGTGATGCAAACTGACAAAAGAAGGAGAGCAAAACAAAGATAATAGCATGACTTACATCAGGATTTAGGTTAGAGACCAGGACAGTGCACCTGTCATTAGTGCCACTTATCCCAGGAGGCAATCCTCCACCAAATGCAGCTGCTATTGCTGCAGCATTCCCCATCTAGAATGAAACAGCACAAGGAAAATAAATAACCAATTCAATATGCATATTTGAGATGATTTTCCACCAAGAATAAAATATAATGTAACTAATTAAACCATGGAGTCAACACTTTGCCTTCACTGACTACCTCTGCTGTTCTCTGTGCTCTGTGCTCCTGGAGCACAGACAGCAATCAGGGCCTACCATCTGGTAGGTTCCACATATAGCAGTCATAGAAAATCTCAAGATTCTCAACCCATTTCAAGTGTCTTTAACAGTTGAATTTCTCAGACTGCCAATTTCTTAATTTTGTTTTATAAGTCTCCATAACATATGATAGACTAAAATCAATATCAGGACCACTTTCTGGCTTAGCACAAGTCCATCACATGTAAAGGACATGCAAATTAAAAAAAAAAAAAGAGGTAGTGTGTGCAGACATAAGAAAGCGTTTCCCAAACCAAGCAACCAGGTAGTAAACCCACAGCTCAGGATAAGACCATCTTGACAGCTCAAAACATAACCTGGGGACCACCCACCTGTGGAAACGCAACTGAAACAAAGAAGGAATGCATTTGTAAGAAATCAGAAAGGAAAGTGAAAGAAGGCAAATAGATGCAGTAGAGGAATACAATTAGCACCTGTCCTGCCTCCAGGTTGAAGTGCATACATACCCCCTGCATCACCATACCCAGGCTGTAGCACAAGTGGAAAAGAATGACATTAAATGTGGAATTCAAACATGCAAACTCCCATAAGAATAGACTAATAAGAACAAAATACAATGTAATGTAATATAATTAATAACTTAGAAACATACTTGTGAAGATCTGCCCTTCTGTTCTGATGGCAGAGATGGATTTGTGAAATCCCTGTAAGAGGATGGAAAACTAATTTAGGAGCAGTCACATAACCAAAAAAAAAAAAGAAACAAGATGGTTTTAAAGCAGCACAATTTAATATCATATGAATCTAAGACTCTAAGTATGAACTGTATACATACCTTGACCTCTCATTATTGTAGTTCACTTGTAGCTCACTAAGGCTGGATTGTAAAAAGGGTGCAACAGATAATGAGATTCATTCTCAGCAGCTAAAACAAACAAAAAGAAAAAAGAAATGCACCAATAAACCATGAGACTGCTATAAAAGTCTTCAAAACCTACTTTGAAAACTGAATATCCAGTTGACAGCAACCATCATAAATATTGCGTCCCTGGAAAGAAGTTGGAAGAAGTTAAATATCTTCTTATAACAACTGGTGAGCAGTTTAAGATTTGAATGGGTAAAGATTTACATACTTGAAGAGCACTTCTTGCTGAAACAGCATTCTGGCGTGATTGATACTGGACAAGGGCTTGAAAACCTAGGCATTTTGCAAAGAATGGAAAACAGAGAAGAAAAGCATAAGTTTTTGTACAGTTTCTTCTAAACATACATGCAATCTAGCATAATTAGAAAGATAGCAATCTAAATATCTTCCGATACAGTTCAAGAGAAAAAGAAAGACCATCTTTAGAGCACAAAAATATCCTAGTCAGAAATTAGAAATGTTAGAAACAACATTCACCAAGAAAAAAATCATTAAGGGCCTTTTCAATGCAAAGTCCATCCAACCAATCTTCCTAAGTCAACAGAGTTGAAATTTAAGAGAGAGAAGAGAAGACTTGAAGAAGCTAACCAGCTGACTTCTGAAATGTGACGATCTTCTCCACAAATCCATGAGGAGAAAACACTTGATGCAGCACTTCCACTGTTATAGGATAGAGCATATGATGGATTGTAACTAAGAGAATTCGATTGGGCTGTGTATCCTGAGAGTGCCCAACAGCAGACCAGCATAGAGACAGGAGAGAGAATGAATAGAGAAGAATATAAAGAGGAAAGTAGGACAAAGAATATTGAAAAACAAGAGATAACATGACATCACATGTTAACACATAAACAAACAGTTAAAACATTTAAAGAAAAGAAAAAAATGAATCCCATAACTAGTTTCCATCGGTCTCTCTAGTTCAGTCATTAGTGTTAGAATGAAGAATTAGTCTATCCTCAATACAAACAATGGCTAAGAAGTTCTCGTTTTCAATTTTTATGATGAACAAACAAATGGATCCAACATACATTTGATAAAATGACTAGCAAGATGGACATCAACAAAGATGCAACCCAAGGCTTCTATGAGAATGAGCACAATATCCAGGTAGAGTAGCACCAATTAGAGCTCTGATCTCCCAATTCCTCCTATGGCTAAAATACCCATCAAAGGGTGTTCTTATCTTCCCCTTCACAGAGAAGACTTAATCTGAATGTACTTTTTTTATGCTTCAGCTATTTGGAATAAAGTCATTGATTACTGATCAAACAGAAAAGGATCCTAGTACTTTTTCTAAATATAAATGGACGCTACAGCTACAATAGTACAGAGATAAACAAATAACCATAGACATAATAATACACACTATAAACCCGCTTACAAAGAAAAGCTGGGCCCTGCTCCGCATCAGAATTTTCTGTCATCATAACAGTGCACTGGACAGCTGGACCTATCCAAAACAAATATATCAATAATACCTTATATGGATACCTTAAGGTAGGGAGTCCAGTATTCTTTCTAGTGCTACTGATGATTATTGGACAAACTCAATACCATTTTCAATGTGGTTTAAGTACCTTAAGTTTTCGCATAGGCTTGCAGAAATAAATCAGTAACAGGAGTAAAGCACCATTCTTTTCATAATTCACTTCTTGCTAGTGTAATAACATTAGTTTATTAAGTCTACCCGTACCACTACTTCGTATGAGGCTCAGTCAAAGACAAAGGATCTCAGAAATGAAAAACTTGACTGAAAAAAAGTCAGAGTATAGTTGGGGGGGATATTTTGCATCTACACGACTTTAACACCATTCTCCATCTAGAATTGAGTTAACCTGGAAATTGGAATGTATGAAAATTTGGAAATTCTGATGCACATATTTAGGCAAGTCACTTCTAATCCCTTTAGTTAGCTGTTACCATTTTTCAAAATTCAAATATACACAATTTCTGGAAGCACTTAAATAAGAGCTTCAAGGAGAGCACCTGGGCAACCAGGTATGCACCTAGGAGACCTAACAAAGCTAGGCACTAGCCAAATTTATGATATTATTGATATATTATAATATAATATAAAATAACAAAGCATAATATAGAATAAGATCATATAGTGTAGAAAAGCGGCACCAGACATAGTGCCTGAAAAACATTGATCACATCATACAATCAACTATCTCTAATGCCTCTTTGCCATTATTAGCATGTCCATGGATATTTCCCTTCTTGTTTTTATATTAATATTTCCTTCAAAGCCCAACTATATAGTAATATTCCTTCTTTTGATTAGATGATCAAGCTAATTAACATATCTGCTCATCTTTCACAAATTATTACAATCCTCTTCCTTTACCATCATCTTAGGTTTAAACCGACCTTTTGTTTCTTGTCATTGTTGGCCCCTCTATTACTTTCCATCGAAATGGCAACTACCATGAATGGATAAATAATTACAATTTCTGAAGTCCTTCAAATACTCAGTAATTGCATTCAAAAGTTAAGTTGATTTGCTTGTGACTTTTAGTTTCTGTTAAGGTTCTGTCTGTTTCATTGTAAAATAGGCAGAAACTCAGCATGTAAAATTTTGGTTATAATTCTACCACTTTCTTTTGCCATAATCATTGTTTTCCACCCCTTTTAAAGAGAAAAAAAAGGAAAATCTAAGCTCAAAAATCGAATTAGAAGATTCACTTAAATGCCCCAAGTTCATTACTTAAGTGATTAGCTAGCTATCCCCCTCCCCCTCCTAAGAACCACCATCCCCTCTCACAAACCACGAATTTAAACAAAAGAAAACATATAAATAAACTTCTTTCCTTTGTATAACCTATGCATGCATAAGACTAAGAGATCCACAACTGAAGATGCAGATGGGAAAGAAACAGAATGAAATGTTTTTGCATTCGTTTACTATAGCATGCATGTCTCAAATATGTGGAAGACCAAAGATTCAACCTAAAGTTAAATTTTAAAATCTTGACGAGAACATTAGAAAATATAGTTATTTTGCAATTGATTAGATACCCTATGCATAGCACTTCAATTTCATTTTCCTTTTAAAACAGCCTCTAAGGCATATTCAACAGATAATGAGTTGCTACTTATTTTAAGTACATAAGCACAACATGATATAGTCCAAAGGTACAAGAAAATTTAACTCAAGAGAGACCACTTCCATAGGTTTCATCACATGTCACATCACTGGTTTTATAATAAATGGCAGCCACCTAACAGAAGCACGTATGCAGCCAAACCAACCTGGTCGGTTTTGCGTCCTTGAGCATTCTGATCCATTGTTGTTAGTTCCTGGTGTGAAGAGAATTGAATGTACACATTCCTCCCCCTGAAAAGGCAAATTCCAGAATTCAACATCTCAACCAAAAATAATAAGGAAATAATAATGGCAATTCTAATAATTACAACAGAAAAAAAAACTGTCAGGAATGCTGTCAAAAGATTTGCATTAAAAGGGAAAATAACAAATGACTTTTAAAAGTAGTAATACCTGACACTTGGTTGAATATTCGTGTAGTACTGCAATGCATTGACAGCTGAGGCGACATCATGCATCTGGAGAAGAGCCTATAACAGCATAGATGGAAAAATAAAGATAAATCAAATCAACCATGTAGTTGGGCGTGGTCCAGAAAATCTAGCACTCGCTACCAAGACCAAAGAGGAAAAGGGAGCCTATAGATATAATTTTTTTTCTGATAAGCAAGGTATTTTATTAGAAAATACAAGCTTAGTGACGACGGCGAAAGGAAAACCTGGTTTTTAGCACGTAGCATCACTAGCTTAGTGACGACACCGAAAGGCTGGACCAACTGAAGGAGATCATTCTGGGGGAATAAAAAAGAGAAAGGAAGAAAAATTACAATTAGAATGTGCAACGCAAATCGTTAGTAAGCAGCCGAAAGTAAGCATTCCATACGAAGCAGAAGGAGAGAGAGAGAGAGAGAGAGAGAGAGGATTTACTTCAGATATTTCGTGCCCCACATTGCGTATATGAATGACTTTAGAAGGCTCTGTCATCTTCGCAGAACCCTGCAACAGACCCAACACTAGGTGAATCCTGAGCCTTCAAATTTTCTTCTTGGGCTTTCCAATTTTGTAAGGATAAAACACTACCCAAAACATATTTCAGGCAGCAGATTCCCTGGAAAGAAAAGTAAGTACATTTTCCAGTACCATCACTTCTTTCTCATTCAGTTTCTTCCATCTACAGTCGAATACATGAGATTGGACGGGGAAAGGGATTGTTCACAAATTACAAATAACAACTGCATAAATAGTTTCCACCCTCAAAGTCCTTTTTAGAAAACAGTACTCCACCCACCAACCCCAATATCGAACAGAAGCGAATATTAATTAAAGATAAACAAAGGAACGGCCTTTCTTTGACAACCTATCACCATTATAAGCCTGAATATCGTTCTCAAGCCTTATGATGATCAAAAAGTCCACTTTGAAGACCCAAAATCTTCAAATCACACTCCATATAAACCATTGACTTACTTGAAATTGAGCATGCAACGCAGTGAAGATCCAAAACCAGGTCACCAGAGAAGGTAAAAGAAACAAGTAGCTAGCAGCTTACCTGGAGAGAGTTGCTTCGAGATTAAGATGTCGGTAATGGCGGATCTGAGAGTAACAAATTAGAGCAATAGAGATCTATAAACCCGTATACTCTGTTGTCGTGTGCCCTAGGTTTCAGAAATCCTTCTGAGTTGAAAATTTGCCAAAGGGAGGTTGGAGAGAAGGAGATAGAAAATGGATGCCCTAGCAATGGATTTTGTTTCCGGGACTCGGGAGCCGAGACGAGAGCGGAATCCCAAGGATAAGATAGCGTACTTCCGGTTCTATTTTCACATTGTCTAAAGCTATGATTGATTGATAGGTCCCACCTAAAAATTGTATCTTAAATATGCGTTTATATATATATATATATAAAGGTTCAAATACGTTGGTAGAGGCAGTGTATCGGTAATTATTTAATGTATATATAAATATATATTTTTATAATAAATAATTTTTTATATTTAATTTATATTTTTTATTTATAAAAAAATAATACTAATTGCAATTTGATGCCAAAAATAGAGTTTTTTTTTTAAGAAAATAGCAAGACAAGGCATCTACAGCTCCTTGGGATGCATAGATCTCAAGTTATTCAAAATAAAAAAGAAAAGAAAAAAATCATCCAAATCAAACATTGGAGTGTAACAATCGAACCGATCGGGTTAATTGGTTCTTGACTGAATTGGACCTTGAATCCTGGTCGAGTGATGGTTTGACCAGCCAAATCAATGAAAGGTTAAAAACATTGCTCTTGAGTCTTTACATGGGCCCACGTATCTCTAGAGAGAATAGAAGAGTTGCGCAAAATTGTGAAGTGACGAGGCACTAGTAGTGAACACAACAGGTGATTTCAGCGATTTTTAACCACCATTAACCTGGCAGTTCAACTGTTCTTATCACCATTTGGGTATGATTCAGGTCTCGTTCTCTTAAAATCTAGATTTTGGTTAAAAACCATTGATATGATATAAAATTGTCTGATCTAGGTGGTTCAACCATTAATCCATTCAATCTAGACATTGGGTCACTGGTTACACATTTAAAGTATGTGTAAAGTTGTAGAGCCATAACTTTGAGCTCATATAAGATGTTTGATTGGGTGATTATTTTATTATTTTGGGTATTTTTTTTTTTCAAGACCTATGTCTCCCAAAGAGCTAAAGGCTTCTTAGAATGTAATGAATGAAGAGCTAAAGGAAACAACAATCTTAGTAACCTTGTGGGTAGCCATGATAGCCTTCGTGTGAAATGTACTAAGCAAGCAGGAAAGTTTCACCAAGAGAAGATCAACAACATTGGAATCATCTTTAATAATATAGCTACTCAATTGAAGTTCGAGTAAACTTTTAGAAAGACAAGGATGATTGGCTATACGCAGTGCATGCTCCGAGAACACCCTTGTCATCGTAGATGTTTGGATGCAAGACTAGCTTTAGAGTCGTGCCTAAAGGGAGCCTCTAATTGCTCTTCTTACTCGTAGAGTCAAGTTTGCCTTTTAGGATGCCTTTAATGAGAAGTTTGATAGTCGTTTCTTACTTGCGTTTTGGTTTTAATGTTTTTCTCCAATAGTTACCATCAGCTTGTTCTAGTTGGTTGTAGGTTCTTGTTAGTCAATTAGCTTCATTTATGGTTGTTTTGTTTTTCTTCGTGGGTTCGAGCAAAGCCCTGATTTATTTCCAATTTAATTATTTCTTCTAAGTTCTTCTTGCCAAGTTAAGAAATTCAATGTAACTAGGAAATTTCCTTAATCAAGCAATCATATAAAGCATAAATTGATGAAGGGTGATTTGGCCTGACCTAGTAAAGAAGGGACACATGGACATGATTTGATTAAGAGATGACGACTCAGTTTATCATAACCAGTTTGTAGCAAATCAAGCTTGGGTACCCAACCACCCCGAGCTAAAAGTGACCTCGGGACAAGGTCACCTCGAGACGAGATCGCAACAAGAACACCTCGATGCCAAGGCACTTTGGCACTCAACCCAGTTTGGGACTTAAAGATATCAGTTTGGGGATACCGACATGCCACTACGTGGTGATCCCGAAAACCCCTCCAACGGATCCTGGGCCTCACGGGATCACGCCGCATAACAGCTAGCATTATCTCCCCGACCGATTCGGGCGGAAGTGATGAACCTTATCGGTTGGCAACGTTATTTTCTAACTAACGCAGAAACGGGTCCTATCGTGATGAAGATCCCGGAATTGATCTGCGAAACCCGCGGGGACTCGACTATGTAAAGGCTCAATCCCCAAAGGTTCAATGTACGCGTGATTTCTCTGCTTTCTAGCTCTCCTACATCCTTAAGCTATTTCAGATTGCTACCAGTTTACTGACTTAAGCATCGGAGTGACCTCACCGGAATAGCAACCCCGAATTCTCTAATCCTTCTCTTGCATATCAACTTAGTCCGTCATCCGCTTGGAAGCCAGATCACCTCCAGCACGGAATAGCGAGATCATGCAATATCATAAATAACTTATTTAGCAGGATTAACCCACAAATCAAATGAATTTGAGCAAAAAAGGGATAAAACTAGCCATCCAAATGTTCTACATAAAAAGTACAAGTTAGTCCCGCATGTTGGGATTAAAAATGCAAAAAAAAAAAAAAAAATTGTGACAAGGGAAGAACACAAATCTGATGGTAATCGAGGTTAGGAAATAGATGGGGAACTGACAACTATGAGGGAGCTGACTAGGGTGAAAAGGAAATTGAAAGAAGTCACAAGGGTAAATGGGTAAATAGTATTTGGTCCAATAACAATCAATGTTTTGGCTAGCCTCGGGACTAGAGGATGAATGCGACTAGAGAAAAGGGTCTGGCCCGAACCCTAAGTAATTTTAAGATAAAGGACAACATTTAGAGTTCATTAATAGGCAGATTTGACAATCCAAACCATTGAATAAATAGAAATGGATCTTGTGAAGGACACTTAATAGTGAATAAATTAAATAATAAGTGCACTATGACACACAATGGGGGCAAAAGAAAATGACATGAAAAATAGATGAAACCATTATAAAAGATAAAAGCATTAAAAAATGCTATGAGCCAACTTTGCAAAGTAACTAGAAGGAAAAGGATAGATGGTCGCATTGACCCTTTGATTACAGGCACTTCATGAGAAGATATTACAAAGGTGGCAATGACTCGAGAAAATCTTTACCTAGCTAGTGAGGAAATCTTGAAGATTGCTCAATACTATCCAAATGGCCCAGTTAGTTTGGTACGTGTGAAAAGGTTCAAGAAAGAAATTGTATAGAAAAATACACATGCTAAACAACTTTCTTTATCAAGGTGGTGGAATGTTAAAAATTCCATGAGAGTTCAAATTTTAAGTTTTAATACAAAATGGGTAAATGACCATGAGGAGAACTTGAAGGGGAGTTGTATGACTCACTGGGATAATGTAGCAATTGCAAAACCTGAGAAGAAGGAAGTAAGGCTAATGGAACCATCCAAGATAACAAATTCAAATTCAAGAAACACCTTGAACACAAAGTGAAGATAAGGAAATCTTGAATTTTAAAACCTTGTACAGGGACCAAACATTATGGAGAAAGGTCAATCACATTGAAAGAAAGCAAAATCAAAGTTAAGGATGTTAAAATTTATACAGAGGTAACACCAAAAAAAAGATGAGAGCTTGGTTAAGGTGCCTAGTTGAGTACCCAAGCCTAACTTCAGACCCGACTAGGAGGGGACCCTCATTGAGAGCAAACTTTGCTATAACAAGGAATTGTAATAGAAGATGATGACGCATATGTAGAGATTATGGTACATACTTGGATTTTTTTTTTATTTGTTGTGTTTTTTAACTTTGCATATAATTCTATAAATTAAACTGTTTAATTAATATGTTGTAGTCAAAGATCGATGAGCTTATATCTTCTCGGTTCTCATGGAAAAGTGCTATCACCCATGATGATAGTTTTGCTAAAGTCATCGGTAAGCCAGAAAGGCATGAACAAATGTACTTGATGGGATTGGATTAGGGGTGGCAATCTTGACCCTGACCCTTTTCACCCACCCAATCCACCCATTTCAGGAGTGGGTCATATGGGTCAAATGACTCATTAGGGTCAGGAAAAGAGGGTTAGGGTGGGTTGGGTCACGGGTACCCAATGGGTCGTGATGGGTTAGAATTAATTGGGTCAAGGAGAGGGTCGAGAGAGGTTCAAGGGGAGAGGGTCGAGAGAGAACACTGTTTACTTGCAACTAGACCTGTTTATGGGCCAGGTGGCCCGACGGGCTGGCCCGGCCTGGCCCGACCCCTAGATGGGCTTGAACAAGCTTTTTGGCTTGCGGGCTTAACTTCGGGCCAAAAAGCCCGGCCCGCATAAAATTCGAACTGGGCTCGGGCTTTGCAAAATAGTCCGGCCCGAGCCCGGCCCCAGCCCGACCTATAGTTAAACCTAAGTAAAAACCCTATATGATGTCCATTTGAATAAATTTTTTGATTTGAGAATGTTGTTGATTCACTTGTAGGCCCATTATTCATTTAAATAGGGAAAAAAACATCTAAATTAAAATAAAAAATGTCCATTTGAATAAGGAAAAATTCGAATTTCTTTTATTAGGTCGGGCTTTGGGCTTTTTATCAGAGCCGGACTCGGGCCCAAGTTGTAGGCCCGTTGGTCGGGCCGGGCTCGGGCTCGGGCTTAACATTTTTCTGTTAATAAAGAGTCAAAGCCCCGCGTAAGCCCGGCCCGGCCCGGCCCATGAACAGGTCTACTTGCAACTCTACAACTGCAAGCCATAACAGTCGAAGTGAAATCTGCTACAACTGCAAGCCAGAACAGTCAAAGAGAAATCTGTTCCACCATTGAAGATTAAGCCCTTTCTTATTTTTGTTCTTTGTTCCACCGGTCACCAAATCGAGGGCAGGTCGAAAGCTGTTAGGGTTTCAAGCTTCTCACCATTGAAGTTTTTTCTCAGTTCTGTTCTCATCGCTACTATTTCCTAGAGCTCAATCGAAGCTTTAGATAGGTAAGTCTTTAAACATTTTTCATCTTCTTGAATATCATAGATATTATATTGTGATTGGCATAGTGAAGTAGGAATCACTCACATGAAAGGAATTTTGCGGCTCTGGGATCTGGGATTCGTTTGAGACATTTTAACCAACACGCTATCGAAGCTCAATTGAAGCTTTAAATAGCTCAGTCAAAGCTCAATCAAAGCTTTAGATAGGCTAGAGAAAAGAGGCATTTTAACCAACACGTTATTAAAATGAAAAGACTCGTTTGAGACTGAAGATCGGTGAATGAATATTAATGAAGGGAATTAGAATTGTATAGCTGATCGAGCATAGTATATAGACTTTGTTTAGTGATGAGTAGAATATTTAATAACTTTGGTTCATGTTATTAATTATATTAATTTCCTTTGAATTAGTTTCAGTTTTAGAGATTGACAGTATTAACACACGTTAATAATTTCTTTATAGGAATAATTCTTAATTGAACATAAAAGCCACCACTTATAATCTCATGCTTATCATTCTGCTTAATTATTTGAGTTTAATTAGCTACATATGCAATTAGATTGTTTGGGTAGACAGTGAAGAAACATTACTAGAAACAAATCTAGAAAGAAAATACACAATAGTCATGCTGGGTCCATCAGCTTTTGTTAATTTTGGGCCAGCTTTTGTTAATTTTGGGTCAGGGGGGATCATTTATGTTGGGTCCATCAATTGGTCGATAGAAATCAATGAGCATGTGCATCTCATATTAAAGAACCTCGCTATTATATATATATGCATAATAATGCTACAGAATTCCATCATTTCCCTCTAGTTTTCTTCTCATATTGTCTATTTTTTTCCTTCATTTCACAAACAAAATTTCTGAAATAGATTTGAACTTGGTTGCTTTTAGTGGTTTAATTGGTCTACCCAAATAGTGGGCCAAGCTTTTAATGACATAATTATCATGTTTCTGGTGCTTTTATTTACTTGTTGCTAGTTTTAGAATGTCAACATAATTCTTCTTTTGGTGACAATGGTATCTTGCAGGTCAAGATAAAAGGCAAGCTTTTAAATGTTAATTAAACTATTGGTAAATGAAGATTAGCTTACAAGCCTAATGGAGTTTGTATATCAGAAAACATGAAAATTTTAATTTGATTTTATTTGTACCTAATTTATATGAGTTAAATTATGTGCTGCTTTACACAGACCACAACTTTGTATTCCCAATTATTTTATTATGCTTTATGAAAAGTGATCTAATAGCTACAGTATAAACTTAGAATCTCCAGAGGTCATGAACTCAAAGACTTGTGGAAATCCACCTGTTGTATTTGAACAATGTTGATGTTGAGTAATGAAGACTTTAGTTTCCCTATATTATGTGTATTGAGGGATCCATGGTTCCAATTCAGAAGCTGATTCTTCTCCCTGCTAAATTGCAGATTATTCTTATTTATCTCTCTGATAAAGTAAATTCCAACACCTCTCTTCATTCAAATACAAAGTATTATAACCATTGGAAAGGTGGTTAGCAGACTCCACCCAAGAGCATTAAAAAAAAAAGTGCTCAAGATCTTGGTACATTAAGGACTGTGCAGAAAAGGTGGTTAGCAGACTCCAACTCCAAGGATAGAAGACAAATTCCACCTGATCCAGCTGCATTCCCCTGCTAACCAACTTGTCTTTAGTCAGGCACTTCCCCAAAGCTGCAGTCCAAACAAAAATATATTTTTGAAGGGGCAGCAGAGCAGACTTCGAGATTCTGCTAGCAGGGAAGTCACCCACAGTGCATTGGTCCAACTTGGTGTAGAAAGATCTAACAATAGTGGTGTAGAAAGTCACCCACTATTCCCCCACCTCCACTTTCTGCAATTAGGTTGCCCCACCTAGGGAATGAATTGCCGAATAAGATTTTACTGATAAAAAAAAAATTGCCGAATAGATTGAAGCACATCCACCATCTGCTCCACCTCCCAATCATTCAAATTCCTTCTAAGAGTTGGGGCCCATGTAACAATACCATTGACCAATAGGTAACAATCTTTGACCAAAGTCTCCCTGTTCTAAGCAGCCAAAAATAAATATGGGTACACTTCCAACAGAGCTTGTTGTTCACACCAACTATCCATCCAGTCATCCAGAACTTTAACCCTATTACCATTCCCCGCCTTATAAGGCACACCTTAAGAAAATTGAGGATATATTTTTTCAATATGTTTCCAAACCAATGTGCCATAAGATTGCAAGTTGCTACCCGCTTCCCAATCCAGCTCCCTTGCACCAAATTTGACTTAGGCTACCCAACTCCTCAATAAATCTCCAGCACCATTTGAAACCCCCTTTTCACTAACTAATTAGTTCTGTGATTATGTCGCTATTAATAATTGATTTTATTTTTTGTTGGGAATTACATTGATTTTACTTGGTACAACATCATTCCTAGGAAGTAGGAACATTAGTCATATCCTTATGCGATGACAACATGATAATAAAGTGAATACATGTGCTTCTATGTTCATTTATTGTGATTCCATTTAAAAACTAATAAAAGATGAAGACTAAAGAAGAAAGTCAAGCTCAAAGAAATTTTATAGGTGTTGAGCATGCGACAGTTTAGAAAAGATGGCGAGAATTAATCTTTATGACTTAATTGTAGAGTGGACCATGCTGAAGCAGAACTTAAAGGATTTAGGCTGATGTCTATAATGGAAGGCATCTTACTAGATTTTTCAAAATTTAACATCCAATGCAGAAAATATAAGCCAATATTGATTTAGTATTTCCATTTGTTTTGTTATGCAACCAAGGATGCCTGACGCCTGATTAGATTATCATATAAAATTAATTGTGACATAAAGGATTCATATGAAAAGTTCTTATCCAATTTGCAATTATAGCTGTTTTGATGTGAAAAGAATTCATAATTCATAAATTGTTCATTTTAGATTCCAAAGGAATGTTCAAACTTTAGTTTTTCTCCAACTAGCTTGGAATATGGATTGCCATGATGATCTCTTCATATTTATGGTATGCTTTTCCCCAAATGAGAAGTAAGGTTGCCTTCAATGAGATGATCTCTTCATCTTTCTAAAGTATTTCTATTTCTAACTCATCCCATGTTTATCTCTTATTTGATAGGGAGTTTATCTTTATCTATCAGCGCTATCCATGAAAATTTTCACTTATGCCACAAACTAGTTTAATTGTCAACTTCAACTTAATGTTTTTATGCTATGTACTTGATTTTCCTCATGGCTACATATAATGAATGTTATTTTTGTATTATTTCTCTTATTTCTCATACACTTACAATATGAAATATGTATTTTTGTCTCTTTGTCATACACCTAAATTGTATGTTTGCATGCTCTTTTCTAGATTTTGTTGAAAATGTCAGAAGTCTCAAGTTCTACTAGTGAAAAAAGAGGGTTTTTCAAATGTATGGGGGGTTTTTGAAAAGTTTATTGATGATGATGGACAACCAAAAGCGAAGTGTAAATTTTGTGAGAAAACATACATTATAGATTCTGGTTACGACACATCCAATTTGAGAAGGCACATGAAAATATGTAAAGAAAGGATAGTCGAGACCCGTAGTCCTCGAAGTAGGATTCAAAAATTTGATGAAGTTGCATATAGGGAAGTGATGGCAATGGCAATAATAAGGCATGACTATCCTCTCTCACATGTAGAGCATGAAGGAAATAGAAATGTTCATAGTGTTTTGAATTCTGATGTTCAACATATTACATGGAACACCATTAAGGCTGATATTTTAAGATTATATGAGAGAGAGAAGAAAAGGTTATATGATTTGTTGCATTCCATCCATGGTAGAATTAATCTTACATTGGACATGTGGACTTCTATCACAACAGAGTCCTATATTTGCATTACACTATATTTTGTGGATTTTGATTGGTGTTTGTAGAAGAGGATACTCAGTTTTTGCCACTTTCCACCCCCTCACTCTGGTGCTGCCATTACAGATATGGTTTCAAAAGTGTTGAAAGAGTGGGAAATTGAGAATAAATTGTTCTCAATTACATTGGATAATGCTTCAGCTAATGAAGCATTTATTAATGTTTATAGGTCTCGATTGAATTTTCAAAAGGCACTTTTGTATGATGGCAAATTCCTTCATGTGCGCTGTGCTGCACACATTTTGAATTTAATAGTGAAGGATGGGTCGAAAATGATAGATGAATCTGTAATAAAAATACGTAACATTGTAAAATTTGTCAAGGGTTCTGAATCATGATTGATGAAGTTCATGGGATGCGTCCAACAATTTTCAATGTAATACAAAAGGAAGCTAGGCTTGGATGTTCCTACAAGGTAGAATTCAACCTATCTTATGCTTGAAAGAGCAATTGGGTATTATAAGGTGTTTTTCCACTTGAAGTTAGTGGACCCATACTATCGTAACTGTCCAACTGAAGATGAATGGGTAAAGGTTGAAAAGATTATGGGCTTTTTTAGACCATTTTATGAAGTTACAAATATTTTCTCTGCAACAAAGTACCCAACTTCAAACTTGTTTTTCCATAGAGTTTGTCAGATCCAAGGAACTTTAAGAGAAGCATTAGAAAGCACAGATTGGTTTATAAGCGTGATGGCTAAACCCATGCAAGAAAATTTTGACAAATATTGGGCAGAGTATAGTACTATTTTGGCCATTGCTGTAGTTTTGGATCCTCGATACAAGTTAAAGATTGTGGAATATGCATTTATAAGGTTATATGGTGAGGATGGGAAAGATAAAAGTGTTCATGTTCGAGACACATTGTATGAATTATTCAAAGAATACATGAATCACTATTCATCCATTGATCTAAGTGCTTCCACAATTCCATCTGAGGGTAGTAACGCAACATGTTACAATGAATATGGCTTTATGAAGGTGAAAGTTATTTTATATTTTTGTCTTGATAAATAATAAGTCATATGCAAAATGATGATTATATATTGGTTTGCATTTTTAATTATATGTTTCTTTGTGTTATGTAGGATTATGATGCTTACGAAAGTCAAGTCTTTTATACAAATGAAATGAAGTCGCAACTTGATTTGTATTTGGAGGAGCCATATGTTGAGAGACAAACTGAACTAGATGTCGTAGCATATTGGAAGTCATGTGAAAAACAATTTCCCGAGTTGTCTCTGATGGCTCGTGATATTTTGAGCATTCCAATTTCGACTGTGGCTTCTGAAGTAGCATTTAGTGGAGGGGGAAGATTATTAAATCAGTACCGTATCTCTCTTGCCCCAAGAATGGTTGAGACATTGATATGCACTCGTGATTAGTTATTTGGGTCTGAAGGTAAATATTACACATTACATTTTCTTCCTCTATTTCATTTTTTTTTTACTTTTTCCTTTTGTAAATGTAGATAAAGCAGAAAAGGATGATGTAAACATTGATTTAGAGGTTGATATCTCCAATTTTGAAAGCATATCCATTCAATCTGACTAGAAAGGTAGTATCATTTATATATTTATCAATTTATCTTTATAGATTATTTGAATGCCATTTATATTTATTTTAACTTACAACTATTTGACAATTGTGGTTTTTTGTAGCATCTCCCTAAGATGGCGACAACAAAGAGAGTGATATTTGATAGAAGAACTCCTTGTCAAACCAATCATTTTGCACTCCTTAGAAGAGCTCCTTGGTGAGCTATCTCTTCCATTTAATTCTAACTAAACAGAAATTTGTAATATCTTATATGGTTTTTCTTTCAACCATTACTTATCTCTTTGTTTACTTAGTTATCAATTATGATGTATCCATCTTTACCATGCTAAATTTTCTGTTATTTGTCTGCATAATGTTTTCAATTTTTTGGCATTCTTTGCTATTTTTTGCAATTCTTCATTTTTTTTGTTATTTTCTGCTATTTATCTGCAATTTCCTGCTATTTTTTTGCATTTTATGTAATTTTCTGGTATTTTCTACATTTTTTGCTATTTCTGAAAATTTCTGCTATTTTTCTGCAATTTTTGCTATTTTTTGTTATTTTCTGCATTTTTGGTATTTTCTGTAATTTTTTCTGTATTTTTTGTAATTTTCTGTTACTTCTGATTTTTTTTTGCATTTTTGCAACTTCCTAGTATTTTCTGGTACTTTTCTGCAATTTTCTTTTATTTTCTGTATTTCTACAATTTACTGGTATTTTCTGAAATTTCTGCTATTTTCTGCAATTTTCTACAATTTTCTGCAATTTTTTGCATTTTCTATAATTTTCTGTATTTTTTGCATTTTTTTGCAATTTTCTGGTGTTTTTCTGCAAATTTCTACAAATTTCTGATATTTTCTGCATTTCCTGCAATTTTCTGTAATTTCTGCAATTTTATGCTATTTGTGGTATTTTTCTACATTTTTTGTATTTTTTACATTTTTATATTTTGTGCATTTTCTGGTATTTTCTGCATTTTCTACAATTTTCTGTTATTTCCTTATATTTTCTATAATTTCTGCTATTTTTCTACAAATTTCTGCTATTTTCCTGCATTTCCTACAATTTTCTGCAATTTTTGTGAAGTTTCTGCAATTTTCTGCTTTGTTTTGCTATTTTCTGGTATTTTCTTTAATTTTCTACAATTTCCTGCAATTTTTGTGAATTTTCTGCTATTTTTGCAAATGTCTACTTTTTTTCAATTTTCTACTATTTTTCTGCAATTTCTAGTATTTTTTGAAAATTTCTACTATTTTTTTTGCATTTTCTGCTATTTCTGGTATTTTTCTGCTTTTTCTACATTTTCTGAAATTTTCTCGTATTTTTCTGCATTTTCTTGTATTTTGTTTGCAATTTTCTGCATTTTTGTGATTTTTTTTTGCATTTTTTTGATTAATTTCTGCATTTTCTGGTATTTTCTATTATTTTGGGTATACGGGTCAACCCAACCCGTTTATAGCATACGACAATCTCGGGAGAGTTGTTTCTCTCAAAAAGTTGTTTTTTTTGTATACATCCTGACACAACCCATTTCTGCCATGTGGCATCATTGAGAGGTGTTTCATCAAAAATGTTATTTTTGGGTACATGGGTCAATCCAACCCGTGTATACCACTTGACAGTCTCGGGAGAGTTGATTCTCTCAAAAATTGTTGTTTAGGGTAAATAGGCCGGGTTGACCCGTTTATGTATTTATATACGATGGTAGGTGGGTTAGTATGGGTGAGGATGGGCAAGAGTCATATGAATGGGTCAAGTGGGTCAATATGGGTGCGTCAGGTTAGGGTGGGTTATGACCTTTTAACACAAGCATTGATGATGGGTCATGGTAGGTTAGTGGGTCAAAATGGGTGGGTTGGTATTCAACCCTTATCCAACCCAACCCAACCCAACCCACCCATTTGCCACCCTAGATTGGATCCAACTCCAACAAATTTATGGGGACCCAAACCAAGGAGACGTATCTCAAATATTGAATTAGAGATTGAAAATCGATAATTAAAAGATAAAATCAATGACTTAAAGGGAAAAATGAAGGATATGGCTACAAACTTTTATGAATTAAGGAATCTTGTGCTAAGTAGATAAGTAAGCATTGTTTATTACAATACCTGAATAATTATACATATACCAATTGGATTGACTATAATGATAATGATAATTGTTTATTGTAATTTAGGCCCAAAATGTTGAAAATGTTCCTTTAGATTCTCCGCACCAAATGCATTCCTCTACTAATAGTTATAATGTAGTGGTAATCCCCCATGAGGTAAATGTATGGTTATAAAATATTAATTTATTATAAGTAAATAATATTTAATATTTATATTATTAACTATTAGGAAATACGAGTTGGGAGCATTCCTTCGTGTGTGCGCAACAATCAATTCATTCAACATGTATATGAAAATTTGGATGAGATATTCTTAGTATGATATAATAAATGTTATTTCTCTTGAAAAATATGATTATTATCCTAAAATCATTTAATGTATAAACATTAAAGCATGTGAAGCTCCTTTACCTAGGATATGATAAAAAAGATGTGGCAAGAGGTATACTTGTTAGTGAAGATCCTAAAAAGGTGGTGGGCAATGAAATACTTGGTCATGGATTAAAATCAGTAATGATTAATGATTTAATTTTGTTGAGAAAATGTGGTAATATAGTAACTTTTAGAGATTTACTTGGATCTCATAGTGCATGGGTTAAATCAATGGTAAGTGTATAATGCATATAAAACTCTTACATTATTTAATTTATATAGTTGATTATTGACACCAATCATTATGTACTAATTTTTGTTGAACTTGACAGGTCTAAGTTTATGATCCAAAGCGAAGGTCTTGAGTGATGCACGTGCATATAAACAATTGTTTAGATGCAATGAGGATAATTTTGTTAATTATTTTTTCTTTTTGGTGATGAAAAAAATAATTAAATGAGTATATAGAACAAAGACTATTATGGATATTTTGTGTAAATGTACAAATTTTATTTGTAAAACTTCCTTTCTCATACAAGTACAAGTGAAAGTAATTTTTTTTTTTTTGTAATGGCGTCCATTCAAAATTTAAATGAGTTAAACTTTTAGCAATGATTTGATAAAACCATTGCTAAAAGTGTCATTTAGTAGTAGTTTTAGCTAAGAATTAAAGTATCGATATCGAGTATCGTCTCGAACAACTTGGATATGGATACGCTTTGGAAGTGCATGGATACGAATGAAAGATTTGGATACGTTAGAGAAATACATACAAATTCCATAAATATATCAATAACACCAAATGTAAAATCAAATAACCACAAATAATCTATAAATATCTAGGAAATGTATATTTTAATAGTAATATATGATGCATCAATCAAGAGTCTAAGACACATAAAGTATGCACATATTATATTTTAATTATTATATCACTTATTTTATATTTTACTATCTCTTACTTTTTTACATTGTCAATCAAATATTAAATTCTTAAATTTAAATTAAAATATCAATTAATAATTTATAAAAATATATAATTTTAATTTAAAATATATCAAATTTGTTAAAATTTGTAAGATATATATATAAATTAAAAATTAAAAAATATATTATATATGTTGCAATTTTTTAATTGCTAATATAATTATTACATTATTAGTATTTTGTTTCTACATTTTTCTAAAATTAAAAACCATTTTTGGTATAAATTTTAATTGGTAGAGTTTATAAATTCTATTTAATATTATATTACCAAATATTTGTAAGTATTTAATATGTTGTCATTTAATGTGAGGTAAATTAGATTATTAATTAATAATTGACATATATTATTTTTAAGTACTGAAATAACTATTCTATTATTAATATTTTTATTTACATAAATTTCTTGAGATCAAAATAATTTTTTGATTTTAATGTGAACTTGATAGGTTATTTATTCAGTTATTCTATTAGTTTATAAAATAACAATTTTGAATATTGTTCTTTTAGTTTTTAGTAGGAATTATTAAACATAAATTTGTGTTATTTATTTAGATTACATGTAGTATGTACATACAACATTTAATAAAAGTTATTTTATTTCACTAATTAACACAAGAATTAAGTTGAACTAGTGGTTTAGGGATTAATTTAAAAACAAGTGCGTGGCATGGTAGGAGATTTTAGGTTCAAATTGCTCATTCGTCAAAATCCACTTTTAACAAAAAAGTGTAACCGCTCAATGTATTGGACCGGTACACATTGATACAAGTCGATACGCACCCATATTGACCCAATACACATGACTGGCGGGATACACTTACAATTGTGACATGCCGTGTGTCGGGTAAAGTCGATACCAAGACAATACGCCCCATATCGTGTCGATATTTAAATCATTGGTTTTAGCAACTGTTATATTTTGTAACAACTATTCTATAGCATCATTTTTTTCCTACACTAATCATTGCTATAAGTGTTATAACAATTGTTAATATAAAATACTGAGGCAATACGAAAAAATCAGTTAATACGTTTAGCAACGGTTTTATTTAAAGCTGTTGCTATTGTAACAATACCCCATATTCTATAGCCATGGTTAAATCCGTTGCTATATCAATTTGTAGTAACGGTTCATAAACGATCTATTACAATAAAATTTTTAACGGTTAAAACCGTGGCTGTATGTGTATTTGTAGTCATGGTGTACAATATCTATAGCTATAACTTTTAGCTATGCTAATATTCGCCACAGACAAAAAAATTATGGCTAAATCATTGCTATAACCTTTAGTGACGGTTTTTGGGAGCTTGTTGCAACGGTTTTGTTCGTTACTAAAACAAATTTTTCGTGTAGTGATTACTTATAAGATTTTTTCTTTAAATTATGTTATAAATTATCTAAAATGTGTTGTCTCAAGTATAAAATTCTTTTACAAATGTGACCGGAATAGTTATTTTTATAACACTACAAACAACAATTACATCAAACTCAAGAAAAAGTGATGTTCTACTAATTAACAATAGGTACAAATGCAATTTATTATGTGCTCATTTACCGTATGCTTATTCTTAATAATTCTCTACTTATGGCATGACATTATTTCAAAGCATGATTCAAATTACCTTAGCCCTTTGGTTTGTAAACAAAGACATTTATAAGGATATTCTTCTTCAAGCAAGAAATGATTAAACAATTCTTTTGGCATCAATAGTCAAAGTCGCTATATATCATGATAAACGTTAGTTCTAATCTACTATATTTTCTATTAAAACCATTGCAATGCCTAACTTTGTAAGTTATCTTTTATAAGTTTATATTTTACAGTTTGAAAACTATCATTGCTCAACTATTTTGATTTATCAATGTCCCATTATAAAGTATATAAAGATAATTTAGATCTCGGAAATTGATGAAACACTTAGTAAATTATAACTTACAATACCTTCAACTAAAATATATATTGCATGTATATTATAGATAGATACATTTTAAACCATACAAAATGACATTTAGGGTAAGAAAGTAAAGAATTATAATAGATAAGTGAACAATGTTGAAATACTCGACCAACATCACAATCTACACTAGTAAAAATAGTCACCCTTTCATCATTTAATTATTTGTGAAGTTCTATAACATCATCTATATATATATACACACACACACACACTAAAAGGAAAGACGTACAGGGAAATGCTAAGAAGCCAACATTTGGAATTTAATAGTGTTTTTTAAAGTTTTTCCCTAAATGCCTTCAAGAATCAAATTTATTCCATTTAAGCATAAAGTGTTTAGATCTACGAATGATGGATTGCCACATTTCCAATTCGACGGCGGTAAATGGTTCATTGGTCGAAAACACTCATTAACCTGATTGAAATGGTTACAAAGTCGGTGTAGAGAGGTTTCACACAATGGAGTTCCTCGGAGGGTGGGGAATTTCTTGATGATCAAGAACATTGACTAAAGCTGAGCATAACTGATGTTGATTAACTCGTTGCTTGAGGTGATTAGACACAACCCTCATTGGTTGCAGTGATGATGCTGAGTGAATTGATCGAAAGCCAATAGAGCAACAATAAATAAGGATTGTTCACAACATGTTTGGTGACGCTCTTGAAAACCGACATCAGCATGCCCTTTTGCAAAGGCTTGTTGAGCAAATTATCTTCTTATCTTGTAGTTGCAACTTTGTTCATTTGCTCTTGTCTCAGCAAGCTATCTACTCCTCCCTCGAAAACTTATCTTCTTTTCTTGTAACTGCTTTGATCTCAGTGGCGATTAATCCTCTCCTTGTTCAACACTACCCAGGTCACTTAAAACATGTTAACCTTTCAACACGTCTTTCAACCATTGAACCACACTTCATTTTGTGGTAGTAAATGAAATAAATTATATTTAACAAAAAAAGCACATGCAAGGTAATATTTTATAAACTAATAGAACAAATAATCTATCAAATCTATATTTATATAAAAAGATAATTTTTAATATCAAGAAATTCATACAAATAAAATATTAATAATAGAATTATTAATTTAATACTTAAAATTTATAAATTTGCATGACCATATGCATCTTAAAATTTTTATACATTTTAAAAATAATTAATTAATATTTTAATTTACATTAATAAGTAATAACAACATATTTTTTATTCACAAAAAATAAAAGTATTATTTATAAAATATAATATTAAATTGAATCTATCAAATCCACTAATCCACATTTATTTCAAAAAATGAATTTTATTTTATATAATTTATAGAAATAAAAGTATAAGTAATGGAATAAATATTTTAGTAATTAAAAATTATGAATTTGTATATCATATGTATCTTTGAAATGTTAACAAATTTGATATATCTTAAGTTAACATTACACTTTTACAACTTGTTAATTGATATTTTAATTTATATTTGAGAATTTAATATTTATTTGATTTTTTGTTAATATTAAAATAAAAAATTGATGTAATACTTAAATATTATAGGTGCATATATTTAGTATTTTGGACTCTTGATTGATGCATTATAAATAAAATTATATGATATCTATGCATCCCGATATATTAATTGTAATATATTTTTTCATATGTACCACTAAAAGATATATTTTTATGTATCTATATACTATTTGTGACTATTTTAATCTTAAATTTAGTATCGCTAATGTATTTGTGGAATTTGTATGTATTTCATTAGTATATCCATGTGTTTCCATACTTTTTTGTCCGTATCCATGCATTTCCAAAGCATATCCGCATTCATATTCATATCCAAATTGTTTGGTACGATACCCGATATCAATAATTTAATCCTTGGATGTGTTTATATTTTAAATGTTCTATTTTTTTTCTATTGATAGTTTTGAAATGTTTTATTCTTTTCTATTGTTCTACCTATATCTACAGATGGGTTTCTCTTTTGCTTACTTCTTTGCTTGCATATCTTTTCTTATATTTTTTACTTTTTTTTTACATAATGGACTATGATAATGGGCTAGTTGTTTCTATTGAGTTACGAGGTGCCCTTAACAAAATAGTAGAATACCTGAACCTTTGGGTTCGCCTTGGTGGGGCATTAAATCTGAGGGTGTACTTTACCGTGCCTCTATAATTGTTACATTTATAGCAATGATTGTATCAAATAGCAGCATCCAAAAAGAGCGATTTCGATGCTTGGGCATGTGTTTTGGTTTGACGTTGATAATTGCAATTATGAGGAGTACAAGTATTATTATAAGAAATGTGAAGAGTTAGGGAATGAGAATTTGTGGTTGAGGGATGGAAACCTTTAATTGACTGAGCAAAACAAGGATTTGAGACATCGGGCAACTAGGTATTACAAGGGTTGTCAACCTAGTGTTGGGAGGAGATTCTCTGCCATGAATGAAACAAATGTAAACTTTGACTTAAGAATAACTTCTATCCTTGCAATTGTATGCATGCTTTTCTAAATGACTATTACTCTTCTTTTGTAAATTCTTGGTTTTATGGGGGCC